ACATGTTTCGCCGGCATCTTACGTAATAGACGTCCTTGGTACATAGTTACAATTTGTCAAAGTGGCAATGCCCTACGATGCCGGCAAAATGTACCGATTTAACGATCTGATGCTGGAATTCAGCATACATACTATTGCAAAGGACGCAGTGGTGGGTACATTTCCTAAGCTCTCCATGCCGCTCCGAACAAGTTGTGAAAACGAGGTCAAACCATTACTTTACAGCTAAAGGGATTGTGACCAACAAAAGGCCACACCATCTTGATCTTCATTTATGACATTTTATTTTTATGTAGAGTTATCACCCTTCATTCCATGCCTTAACCCATCTGCCTGTTTTGTTCTCTGCCTGACAGGTGATTATCCAGCTGATGCAATACCACAACAAAAGTTATCTACTGAACATTCCCAGCTGGGACTGGCGGCGTGGCGATGATGCCGTGTGTGTGGCTGAGCTTAAGCTCGGCATTTTGGCGCAGAACTGCTTGTCTCCGGGCTTCAGTACTCTGTTAGCCAATCTCTTCTCGATGCGCACCTACAAAAAGGACCCAAGTGGCCAGACTCCAGCTTGGCTCAACCAGTACATGCAGGGTGCCGGGATTGAGATGTACACGGAAACGATGTCTTCGGCGTTTGTCGGTATGCCGTTCCCGGCGGCAGCTGAGCTCTGCTTCGTCCGGCTCAACCTGCTTCTTATTGCGGTACAGATGACGAAGAAGGGTCACGGCGAGGCGGCGGCAAGCGCCAGGATCGCGATCAACCCTAAGGTTACCGAACCGCATGCTTTGTCCGCCTGTGTCTACTTGAAATTGCACTATAAGCGCCCAAAACTACCGTTTCTTGTATGGAATATTATTGTGGGTGCTGATAAGTCCCAGGCGAAGTCGAACCTGAGGTGCAACCTGGATGAAAAAGGTTCTTGCGATTATTGAAGTTGTTTGACCTTGTTTTCGCAACTTGGTCATATTGTTGGGAAGACTTAGAGGAGTCCATTGTATGCATCATCATTTACAAAGTCGGATCGTGGATGTGGTACATTCCTGGACGTTTCGCCAGCATCGTCAGTGAGCCTCGCCATTCTTAGCACCATAGTACAGCTCGTCAAAGAGACAAGTGAAGCCGATCCTTTGACCAAACGTGGAATCTCCCCTTCTGCCCTGGGCTATTAACATTTCCTATATCCTCCTATC